ACCCAGACTGCTAATCCACTCCCCCCTCATGTAAGCGGCGGCCTATCACCGGGCTCAACGAAACCACACGCCTCCCCCTTGTTTCATTTAAAAATAGTCAAATCTCCTGTGATCTCTAGTATCTTTGAGGCTTGAAAAAGAGGTTATTCCTCGAAACGCGTAGCCACTGGAGACACCAGACCACCTGAGACCTCCACCACCTATACTGCTACCGATACTGACACACGACGCACGGCGTGCCCTAGCCGCGTGTTGCTCCTCCTCGTTTTTCTCCGTTTCTGACCGACGCGGCTCGGCCAGCCGAGATCGTGGGCTGCCATACGCATGCGCACCCCCAACTGATCAGCCCGTCGAACCACCGGGGACACTTTTGCGACCCTGGACCTGTTAAAGGAGGGCGCCACACAGACCACGGGGTAGCCTCGAACCGTAAGTCCCTTTGTCTACTACAAACATTGTCATATATACTTAGTTTTCACACACAAAGATCCATTAACAATCGTTACTATACAAACCTATCTACATCATTTTTGGTAGTTGCGCTCCTGTCCTGTTTTGTCCATATCTCTTACGGGCATGCCACTGCGCAGAGTCCTACAAAACGTTCCTTTCAAATGGGCACTTAACGCCATCAAGTATTTGGGAATATTTCTTCCCAAAGACCTTTCGCACACGTTCACTTTGAATTTTCCCCCATTGCTTTCACGTATAAAATCTGATTTAGCTACATCAGCCAAAAATTCCTTTTCTTGGGCGGGGCACTGCAACATCCTGAAACAATCCATCCTGCCACGCCTACTGTATCCTCTCCAAGCACTGCCAATACACAATCCCCCTATCCTTCTTCCGCAGTATACAAGCGTTTTTTACTGAGTTCGTGTGGCTCCGTAAACCACCCAGATTGAGTTATGACATCCTGCGGAGACGTAAGCATGTTGTGGAAATTTTATTAGGATGTGTTTTTAGTGTATTGTAATGTTTTGTCATTAGTCTCTCAGTGTCTCGGTAAATAGACGCTGGGGGATTAATCCATTGGAGATTTCTTATGCGCAGCGGAGCAGTGTGTTCTTGGCGAATGTATGGACGCCGGCTGGGGCCCCCCGTGCAATGCATGGATTTATTGGCTTGCGTGGATACATTTGTCTTGAACGCAGTATATGAAAGGAACGTGCGTTTGTTCTCTCTGGGGTGCCTGATCAACACGCTTGAGATGATATAACGTTGTCCCAGTGAATGAGCGCGCATGAGAATCCTAGTAACGTTATGTGGCATTGCTCACTGAGCAACGCTGGATAAAGTCACTCCGGTGGTCATTGATTGTTACTACATGTGATTTGTTAGCTGACTCCTGTTCACTTCCTGTCTGACATCACTTCCTGTCTCACTGTTTGAGACACCCCTTCCTGTCTGACATCACTTCCTGTTGGGCAGGTATAAACAATAAACATACCTGTGTTCAGGTCTCTTAGCATGGGATTAACGAACAAGCAACATCTGTCTCCTGACTCTATAGAGGGAGATACTTCCAGTCCTTGCATAAAGGAGCGTAGTACAACGGGGGAAATTCTTTGTGTTTGGCGCAGCTTAATGCGACATGGATTTGTGCGTTGAACCAAGTGAATTTCCATAACAAGCATTCAGGGGGGATGTCACTTCCGGATGTATATCAATACTATATTGCCACGCACCTAGCCCGTATAGTTGACTGGATCCATCACTCTCCCTCCAAACTTTGGATCGAGATAGAACAATCCCACGTTGAAGTGCCTCTGGCCAACCTCCCTTGGAGCACAGAGCCACCAACTCCTCAAATACGCTTGCATCCTACTATCGGACCCACACTAAAATTAGCAAGTAAGGTCTTTGCCAAGTCTCCCTCTCTTCCATCCCTTCTCCTCTCTTCCCCATACTTGATAATCTCTCCTTCCCCCCAGGTATAGGGCTCCACACATACTCGACCCTGAGGGACTTGGGTATCTATAAAGCCATGCTTCTCCTGAAGAGCTCGGAGTGGCCCTCCATCCATGCCCTCCGCACCCAACCGGAATACGGACCTCTTGACTTCTGGTCCGCCATGCGCCTATCCCACTTCCTTTCTACCAATCCTCCGGTGCACAATTATAAAAGACCACTTACTCTATTTGAACAACTTTGCATCCAAACTGACCCTCCACGACACGTCCTCTCCTTCTGTTACACGCAATTGATCAAACAGCCGAATCTACACCCATTATGGTTTCTCTCAAGATGGGAGGAGGAACTTCGGATTGTTATACCACCAGAAGCCGCAACTAAATTACTGTCTCTTTCCTATCGTTCTTCAATTAGCAATAGGTACCAAGAATCGGGCTACAAAATAGTGACCAGATGGTACCGCGCGCCGCAAGTCCTCCACTCACTACTCCCGGAGTCACCAGAGCAGTGCTGGCGGTGCCAACAGTCCTCGGCAGGTATGCTCCATATGTTCTGGTCTTGCCCGGCCCTTTTGCAGTTTTGGGATAAGGTGCACGCTCTTGTTCAAAAATTTACTGATGCCTGGTGCCTCGAGACCCTGCCTTTTTCCTTTTACATCACAACAATATACCTTTGCGTGTCTATTCTCGCTCCCTTACTAGACACATAGTTAACGCAGCCCGGGCTTGTATACCGACATTCTGGAAAAACTCAGAACCACCGCCTATCCGACAGGTTTTAGACCGCATCCATAATATCTACCTCATGGAGGACCTCACGAACTCAATCAATCAAATTATACCTCATTCTGTAATCCATGGCATCCATGGATGGAGTTCATGAGGTCACCTGAATATCTTACCTTCGGAGTGTAACCAAAAACATGACGGACATTGGGG